CAAGTCTGTTGCATTGTTTGCAAAAGTCAACTTGTTTCCTGTATAGTGAACAGCGTGTGAGCACTCCTCTGTACATAACGTGCGTCGGGACTCTGCTGCCGTCAAAAAGGACTATCACTGTCGTGGTGTTGCCAAGACGTTTGGCTGCGATTGCCGTAGGATTTCTGGCTGTAATAATAGCTGCAGTGATGTCCCATGGGGTTTCGTTCAAAGGAACTCCTTTGATTACACCTTTGGCAGTCAGTTCCGGGGCCGTCTCGTATGCTCCCACCTCATACAACTTGTCGTTGGCTTTGATGTGCTTGATGCCTTGGTACTTGTCTGCATGGTCTTGGTTTGGGGTGCTAACGACCAAGATGTTCTGAAAATTATTCGGACAAATCGTGTCCGTCTCTTTTTTTTTCATAAGGAATCTCGGCCGCTTCATACACAGCTTTGTCTAGCTCTGTCAAGCTGAGCTTGGATAGCTGCAGTCCTCCTCTTGGCCTTATAGTTATCTTGAAGTCGCCTGTCAGCAGTCTTGGCATTTTTCTGGCCCTGGTTATCCGGGATATCAGATTTGCACCGCGCGTTCTAGGTGTTCGGGTAGGACTAGGGCTACCACGGCGTTCCTGGCTACCTTTCTTCGCACGTTTTCTGTTTCGAACTTCTGTCCACCCGTTGCCTGTGTCATCTTCCTGTTGGGTGACGTCTTCGTCTTCCCATTGGATGGCGTCTTCATTCTGCTGCAATACCTCCATTATTGATGATTACGGCCTGTATGGCGTGAACGCCGAGGCCTGCAGCTATCGTGAGGTCGCCCCAGTCGACGCGGAGCGCCGGTCGTAGGAATAGTAGACGCTGCTTGGTGGGGGCTGGTTTTCGGTCGTAAAATCTCGAAAAAATGATCACCCACCTTAGAATATGGTCTCTTCGGATTCCCGGTGACGAGAAGAATCACATGGTATATAAATCCGAGTGGTGCCTGGCTGTATTCGCTGCGAAATCATTCTATGAGAACGGAGCCGACGTGAAGAGCGTCCATTCACCTCGGTGACCGCAGCGCCTCCTCTCATTCGATGGTGACGTCGCTGATTTTGCAGTGTTTGAAGTGCACTGAAGTGGTAGAGCTTTATCGCGTTCTGTCGTCTTGGCAGCATGTAGCAGCAACTCGGCGCCTACTTCATAAGTAACTCGGAAGCACAAAGCACATCGCCTGAGGGTGACCACTCTCGACAATTGTAGTCACAGTCATTCGTGTGCATTAAGGTGAAAGTGGAGTCTGAATTGGAGCGTCTGTGTGTTGTGGAGTGTGAGCGTCTGTGATTTATCGCCAACAAAAGCCGTGGCAACAGCGCCGCCACGTGTGCGAGTGTGTTAGGGCCAAACCTCATAAGCGCGAAAATGCACGCGACAGCGACGACAGGGCGTTCGCGCGACGTGTCGCGTGCTCGTTTTCGCGCGATCGCTCGGTTCTCCAGATTTGGAAACCGTCGCTCATCGCCCGGAAGTGCTGGGCTCAAGCAGCCAATAGCGAAATACCGGAAAAGACAAAGACTACATAGGTGCACGTGACCCTGCCCGAGTCACGTATGCGCAACAAGAAATAACGCAATGTTTATTACGCATGTGCATATAAAAAAGTGCTGCAAGGCAATAATAAATACTTTCCGTTTCATTACACAACGATATATCTTATTTTTAAATTGCATAGCGCTCGCTACGCGGTTTTCTTGGTGCGAGTAGACGGCCTCATGCCTGCAACAGTGGAATTCGCTCGCCGAAGCCGTCACGTGAATGAGGTTTGCCTGCGCTAGCGACTGATCGCGCGAAGCCGATCTACGTCGCGTCGCTTGTCGCTGTCGCGTGCATTTTCGCGCTCATGAGGTTTGGCCTTTACTTGGTTGTCGCGACGTGAGAAGCTTGGTGATATTCTGGGATATGCGCTGTGCTGTGCACCCGGGATGCGATAGCGGACTAAGCGTGAGAAAAAAAAAAAAGCAGATTCCAAGTACAGTGGGAATCGATGATAGGTGAAGAACGAATGAGAAAGGTTGATATCTCACTTTAAAATCACCACAACGTCACAAGGTGGAGGTAAATAATGCCGTACATGACTTCCGGGTCATGATTATCATTTTTGGATGTGTCGTTTGCCTTCGTCATCTATTCACGTCACGTGATTCCGAACTTAATATATGGAGCTAGCAAAACGGCCGCGAGCACACGATGAGCGTGATTTGTTGTTATGTTCTTACATGACACGCGTGTCAGGATTATCATGTTTGCACCAGTTATATATTTCGTCATCTAACGACGTCACGTAACACCAAATTTAGTATATGCGGAGCTAGCAATTAAAACGGCCACGAGCGCACCATGAAAGGCCCAATATACTCCAATGTAGCGTTGACGCGTGCACACGCTGGGCACAGCGACGCTAGGTTTACAAAACGCGAGCATTCTATAGTGTGACGCTAGGCGCGACCAGCGTCTGTCGGCGCGGCCCGATGGCAACCAGCGCGAAACGCAACGTGCTGCATTTCGTGCCGATGCCATAGAGTAACATTGCTCTATGCTGATGCGTTACCCAGACAACACTGCGTCTCCCTCTTTTCGTGACGGAGGGACACCGGACGTGCTAAAACGCGCATTCATCAAAGCAAAGCAGCGCGCCGCGTGCCTGCGAGTATATGGCAAGACCGGCGCCTGCCGTGGCAACGCCGGCGTGACCCGACGAAATGAACGCCGGCGAGCACGCGCACCGCGTCACGTTGAAATGTGTTGGCGCCTAGACTGTGGCTAGTAGTCATGTTCTCAGATAACACGCATCTCATGATTACTATGTTTGCACCAGTATCATACCTTCGTCATCGATTCACGCACCTTAATACCAAATTTGGTATATGTGACGCTAGCGAAACGGCCGCGAGTGCATCATGAGCGTGGCATCTAATTATGTTGTTAAATGACACGCATGTCAGGATTTTTTTGTTTGCACCAGTATCATACCTTCGCCATCGATTCGCGTCCCGTAATACCAAATTCGGTATAAGAGGCAGCTAGCGAAATGGCTGCCAGTGCATCATGAGCGTGGCATGTAGTCATGTTGTTACATGACGAGCATGCTTATCATGACATGATTATCACGTTTGCACCAGTCACATACATTCGTCATGTATTCGTGTACCGTAATACCAAATTTGGTGTATGTGACGCTAGCGAAACGACCACGAGTGTATCATGAGCGTGGCATGTAATCATGTTGTTACATGACAAGCATGTCATGATTTTCTTGTTAGGGTCTATCGCTTGTGTTCGGCATGAAATCATGTCACACCATACCAGATTTGCAACACGCCATGTGAATGAAACCACCACAAGAGCTGCAGGACAATGAAATGTAAATCATGACATTCATGACATACACGTCATGATTTTCATGTTATGACTTAATATGTTATTCATACAGTCATGTTATGCCATGCCAAGTTTGGCATCCATACCATTATAGAAACGGCCAGGAGAGCTAAAGTCGTTGGATAGATAGATAGATAGATAGATAGATAGATAGATAGATAGATAGATAGATAGATAGATAGATAGATAGATAGATAGATAGATAGATAGATAGATAGATAGATAGATACGCGCTCTAAGTCGCCGAAGTTCTCTAAGAAATGCTTCGAATGTTTTTTTTTTTTTTAAGTGTAGTTTCTCATTGTTTTGCCGCGAAATTCATCGATGCTGCTTCCGGCATGAATTTAAGCGTGAGACAAGCAAAAATTGAACACTGGCTGCGCAACAGCGTTCGAAGGGAGCGCGTGTTTCGCGCCACAGCAATATTCCAAGAGTCCGTGCCGTGACGTGATGCAAGCCTCCCACCAGGCGGCGCCCCTCCAACTTGATTGATTTTATTCATAATTGGGGTTTAACGTCCCGAAACTACCATGTGATTATGAGAGACGTCGTAGTGGAGGGCTCCAGAAATTTCGACCACCTGGGGTTCTTTAACGTGCACCCAAATCTGAGCACACGGGCCTACAACATTTCCGCCTCCATCGGAAGTGCAGCCCCACCAACTTCTCGAGCATAATACAGCTATATATATAGCTATAAAACTGTGCAGCAGCGGTGTCACGAGCGCTGCGGAAACGGGAGAGAGCTCGCATTTGCCAGGCCGATGGTGCAGTCCTGGCACAAAAACAGGTACGGGAGGCCGAGTGCCGGCAGCAACTGCGTACCCATGATTCACCAGCCTTCCAAGCCACGCTAAATAGCGAACGGAAATTCAAGCGCCGGTGGCAGACGGATCGTGCCAACCACGCCACAAAATTATCTCGCGATGTCAAACGCTTGCAACGTGGTTGCGGCGTCAGTGTGATGACTGCGGGAGAGCGTTCGCCGGGAGTTTCTCCAGCGGCACATTGGCGTCGGCTGCGACGTCTGCGGCCGTCTGTGGTTCGAGAACAGCCACCATGATTAACGCATTGCGAAAAGTATTCAACGGCTCATTAGACTCCTCCATGACCATGATGATGCGAGGCACAATGTGCGGCATGTGAAATAAACACTGTGGTAAACCCAGGCCAAACGTGTTTCTAACCTCATGAAGGAGCACGAAACTGTAACCAACAATTGTGAAAGGTTTCAGTGGCACATAAGGTTGAAACCAAACACCGGGGCCACCTGTTTCTACTTTCGCTTGATAATTTTTCTGTAGGCGTTTGTGGTGTCCTCACTTCCTCCTTATGTCCATAATTGCAAGCCCTGTTTTGTTAGAGGCTATACACGTATTGTTCAAACTTTGATGGGAAACCAGACACTCCTTATCACAGCGTGTCACTAGAGTCAAAAACGTAGGAGAGGGTTGCGATTTTGTTCGAATAGATACGGCCGTATACAAGGAGCTGACCCGGCGGTTTTCCAAGGAGCATTTTCGGAGACAACGATATGGGGTATCTGAACATCCGAAAAGAACGATAGAAAAGAGCACCGCGCTTACGATAAGCTAGGGAGACGGGGCTCTCGAGGTTCCACCGATGCTCGCAGGAAGACGATTCGGCTGCTTCGGAGAACAACTATGTTCGTGGACAACATCGAGCGCGTTTTAGCACTGCTCGCGGCCTTGGCCGCATGCGGCGCTGTTTCGGCGCTGTACCCGCGCGAGTCGGAGACAAGGGAGGTGAAACTTTTGGACGGGGTGTGGAACTTTCGTGCATCCAGCGATTTTGATCCTCAGGAAGGCTTCGTCAAGAAATGGTTCCAGCAACCACTTTCACTGGTTCGTATGGCCGAGTAGCTCCTCGCCTTTCATCGCTACCTTTTGCTTCTTTTTTATTTTTTCCCTGATGCATCAGTTTATATGTTTCTTACATATATTTGTTTGTTCGTTCGTTTGTTTATCTGTTTGTTTGGTAATACTGTCAGCCCCAAGTATGGATTTTTACAGGAGTGAAAAACGCATACAATTTTACAAGATCGCATACCCTTTTATGCTGACATTAGAGCAAGAAATAAATAGAAGAAATCGGCATGAAATGCGTAACAAAACGAGACATACAGCGTACACAGGCATTTGCACAAACATTACCATGCGCAAAAATAAAACACAGGCATTTATATTTACAGTCTGTGCGTTGAAAACACAAATTCACGGGGAGACAGGGAATATACAGTGACATCGTGAAGACAGGAATAAAAAGTAATTAAAAAAGTACTATGACGCATCTGTTTCAGAGAAAATAAGTGAATTTAAAGCTACAGGAAAAGCTGTGATAAGGGAAGACATCTCGACTGGGTTTGGTAATTCGTTTCATTTTTTATTTGCCTTCGCAAAGAAGCTGTATTTAAATGCCTCGTTTCGGGTGGCTGGTGGATGTATATATAAACTGTGTTTATGTCTAGAGTGCGGATCTGGAAAAATTACACAGAAATCTAATGAGTTAATTTTGACCTGATTACAAATGATGAGAAATGGAAATTTTAAGCGGTCAAACATTGTTTTAAACTCTAAGGTGTGAAGGTTGGCACGGTTGCAAAGTTTGGAAGCAGAGTTCATGCGTTGATATTTATTGGATAAGAACCTGACTTACATTTGAAAATTTCGTTGAAGTATACAAAATAAACACGGACAGAAGAGGCTGACGAGGACAGCGCTTACTCTCACAACATTTTTTTTTAATCAGAAAGGTCATTTACACAAGATACACGGTTCTCCGCCCATGTGCAACAGAGTACCAAAAAGCTTTCGTATTAGGATGGCAAACTTTTCTATGTTGCATGGCATTTACTAGATGTCGCAAGTACTAGGTGCCTAAATACGAGTATTCCTTAGCGTGCAGCACAATTGTGGCTTGGCCAACACAGTCATGTCCCCTCTTTCAGATGTGGTATGACTCAACTGTCGCACGTGTAAGCTTATGTCGCAAAAAAAACGAGTTGTTGCTCTCTCCGCTATTGCACAAGCGCGAAAAACCATTTAACCATAATAAATACCTTTTCTGAGTAATACACATCCACTATGGCATCTCTCATAATTATACGGTGGTTTTGGGACGTTAAACTCTACATATCTGTCTATCAGATTAAAAAAAATCTGTTATGAGAGTAAGCGCTGTCCTTGTGAGCCTCTTCTGTCCGTGTATTCAACGAAATTATCAAATATTAACGTAATTAAACTAACCCAGCTTGCCATCTTGCTGTAATGTCAACCTTCTAAAAGACGTGCATCGTAGAACGGAGAGATCCTGGAGTACTGCGCTAGGAGGCTGTGAACATAGCTATACAGATGAGTATTCCAGCAACATCAGGGTAGCTCTAAGTTTTGTGTATTTCACAGGAATGGTGCTGCAAAAGCCGTTCAATAACTAAACATGTGCATACAATCAGCATACCAGAACGGAATGCACCTTACAGACATCAGTTCTAAGCAACGAAGCCGTAGCGTGTCACAAGAACATCTCAAACTATCCTTTCTGCCTAATTGAAGTGTACGTGGACGTGAGGCAGGGTTGGGGGGAGACGAGGAGGAAGAACAGGTTAGAAATAAAGAAGATGGCTGACACCCCTGCTTAGTACTGTGTACTATTACAAATTGGCGCAGCCGCTTATACTTTCTGTGCGGACATTCAAGATGTGGGTGGACTTCACCATTGGAGCAAATCAACGCGGTGGCATCCGGATCTTGACCGCAATGCCTCAAGATGAAGAGGAACTAGCTCTTCCGGAAGCAGTGACCACTGACGCATTTGTTTCCTATATAAGCACTAAAATGAAGATAGCCCCAGACCATTTACTTGCTAAAAGAACGGTGAGGATCAACATGAAACTTCAGGATTATGAGAATTTCGTGCTGACTCCAGTAAGAAACGACGCGAAGCCTGCTACCGCTGCTTCGCCTGACAGTTCCATCGAGCTGATCAACAAGTTTCTTGAACTGCGCCAAGAACAGAATAGGCAGCAAAATTATTTAATGCGCTTGCTTGTAAACGTGACGGAAAGATTAAGCAGACCGAGTCGCGAACAAGTGAAGCCAGACATGTTAGACGGAGAGTCTACTAGCCCCGAGTCCTGGCTCACGTTTTACGAGTATGCATGCAATGAAAACTACTGGCACAGCGACGAAGATAAAGTGAAAAACATGCGACTATTCCTATCGGGCATAGCAAAGAGTTGGTACGAATGGCGTCCCAACGCTCACAGCAACAAACCATGGACAGAGTGGAAAGCAAGCTTTCTGAGCTCCTTCAGCGAGAACAAGGTGTTGCTATGGGACAAAGCAATCACGTTCAAATACAGGTCTGGATCTGCACTCGGCAATTTTTATGAGAAAAGGCGCTTGCTACAGCTGGCGGACTCATCTTTGCCTGAGACGTCTGTGGTTCCGCTTATCATTCATGGTTTAAGTCCGGACCTCCAGAAGCAAATACAAATGCGAGGACCCAAGACGGTCGAAGAACTTCTGCAGGGAATGCGAAACCTCTACCTCCAGGACCTAGGAACCCAACGTCCACCCATGACACCTGCTGTAAGGAATACCGGGGCCACACGAGCTGAGGAACGACGCCCGCTTGCAAGCTGGAGACCTACTGCAACACCCGTATCCTTTGTCAATGCAACATTGTTGTGGGAGGGAACTGAAGAACTAAAGTTCCATAATGGAAAGTTCACAGTCCCAGAAACAATGGTGCCTCAAATTTTGGAGCTCTATCACGACTCCCCGCACTCAGGTGGACATGACGGCTTTTGGAGGACATATCAGAAGATTCGTCAGCGTTTCCAGTGGAAACACATGAAAGAGGACGTTCAAAGGTACGCTCAGTTTTGTCATCAATGTGAAGTTAACAAAGCCAAGTACCTTCAGAGAACAGACGAGATGGTTTTGCCTCAACACTCCGACGTACCATTTGAAGTCATTCATCTGGATTTCGCAGAGCTCAAGAAGAAGGCTGCAGGAGTAAGAAGAACGCAGTCTTTCCTAGTGGCAATAGACCAGTGCACAAGAATAGTGGCTGCACGGCCGGGAAGGGAAGACGCAAATAGTGTGATCGCTCTTTTGAGTCGGGAGATGTTCAAGATTACGAAAATAGTAATATCAGACAATGGGCCAGCGTTTCTCAGTCAGCGTTTGCAAGATTGGGCGAAGGAACGAGGAGTGGTATTGCGACGCTGCGCTCCGTACCATCCTGCAGGAAATGGCATGGCTGAAAGAATCATTCGGGATTTGAAGCAGTTAATTTCAATGTATCCCGGTTTTCAGGGTGGATGGAAGTGCTGCTTGGAGGCAGCTGTCGCTCATCACAATCGGTCGCACACTGCGAGCATCGGCTGTAGTCCATATTTTGCAGCTTTCGGAAAGGTACCAGTGCTTCCTGCTGATCAAGAACTTTGCATTGCAGATCGCCTGCAATTGTGCGAAAAACGAAAACCTTCGGAAGCCTACCAGCGATACCGGGAAAGTATGAAGAGGAACTTTGACCGTCGCCACAACACGCGGATACCTCACATACAACTGAACGATCTGGTGCTTGTCAGAAAAGGCCTTCCCGGCATAAAGCAGGTGTACATGGGACCTTATCGCGTGGTGCAGATCGCAGTGCAACATGGCATTCTCAAAAGGGTCGGTTACACCAACAATGATGGTGTGCTGGAGTTTGCGACCATTGGAAACGTTTTCAAGAATCACCCCAGGAGGGATGAGTCTTCAAAGAGGGGGAGTGTACGTGGACGTGAGGCAGGGTTGGGGGGAGACGAGGAGGAAGAAGAGGTTAGAAATAAATAAGATGGCTGACACCCCAGCATAGTACTGTGTACTATTACATGAAGTAATGAAGGGAGGTCTTGAAGAGACTGTGTCATTCGGTTGGTGGTGAAAATGTTTTGTGAGTGCGCATATGTGCCGTGTGGTGGTGAGGACAGCTCGTGAATCCCACCGGAAGAAGACAGCGCCTCGAGCAAGAAGCTGATTCCCCATGATCGCCGCCGTTGTCGACACTGGCGTTCGAAGAGCGCTCTTTCAGAGCTGCTCGTTCTAGAACAACGCTGGATGAGATCCACGCTTCTGCTTGATCGTCCCGGTCGGTGTTCGACGGTGTTCCTGCTGAGCCGTCTCTTTCCTCTATCCTCGCTGTCCTCGATGTTTGTTCCGGTGCTTCCTGAGGCCTGAGCAGCCGGTTTCAATTCGGGATCTACCTCCGCTGCTACTTCAAGGGCACCCTGGTGCTTCCTATTTTGGGGGTGCGGCCGGATAGGGCGATGCTGTTAAGCATATCAACCTGATGTCTCTCCCCTCTCCCGGCCAGGCACATTCTGCCTGGTCGGCTTCCCTCCCTAACAGTGATTTGCCAATCGATTTGTTTTTGTACAGTGGTCTGAAGAGCGTTCCTGTGGCCCTGGTTCCGACCAATTGCGAGTCTATTCGCTTGAAAAATTTGAAACTAATTCAGGAAGAACTCCGGAAGATTTCCAACTAACTATTGCCAAATGATTACTGAGGTGCGTCAATTTGGACGTGGAGGCATCCTTTGCTGCTCGCCGTACCAGGCCTGCATCACAGATTTCCTAAAATGCACAACGTTTGCCACAAATTCGGTGAGCTTTTTTGGGCCTGTTCATTTGGCCTGTGTGAAGGGACTAGTTCGAGGAGTGGATTTAAGCCTTACACCACCTGAAATACTTGAAATGTTTGCGGCTGCAGGAGCAGTCTCTGTATTTCAATGCTCGCGAAACGTTGAGAACAAGAAGGTCCCCACAGAATACGTGATCACGGCTTTTGCCGGCACG